GCCATCGCTACTAGTAGCAAGAAGCTACTAGGTGGAGGCCATCGCTACTTGTCCCCTCGCCCTGCGTGGCGAATTCACCCGCCGGAGAATGCACCGGTCGTTCCAGCTGATTCCACCGGCGTGACGGACCGCGTGGTGAACCAGATGCTTTGCTACCTGGATGGCGTCTCTTGGGTGCACAGTGAGGTGTGGATTGGTCGGCACTCGTGGGATTCTGCTTTCATTGAAAAAACGGGTACAGGATGGGTCAAAACCGAAGAAGAGCTGTGCGTCTCGTTGGATTATATAGCGTGAGTGCGTGGAATTTCTGCAATTAATATCAATTAATCAATTACTTATATAATTACTAGCGATCACAGTGCATACAACGTGCAATGGTTCTATTGTAAGCTACCAGGGCTCGAGGACGCAAACTTACCCGACTTACCCGAACTGAATGGAACACCAGTCTTGTATTTTTTTTTTTGATACGCTTTAAATCTGGCATTTTTGGCGCTTGTTTCCAGGTTGCTGTCACAAAGATCTCCACTTTCAAGATGGAGATCCTCGAACAAATCCCATGCTGTCAGACATGCTTCTTCCCATCCTGTGCCACTGCCACCTGTGGTGTTTGACAACGTCTGCAAGCATGATCAAAGAAGAGGCCACACCACTTCCCGGCACGGCGGTTCCGCGGAGACGGTTCCGCGGTTCCTGTCTGACCCCACCGGTCACTGAGGTGGAAGACCGTGGCCGTGTCTTCGTGGTCGCCGCCACGGGGCGACCCGACATGGTGGATCCCGCCTTGATGAGACCTGGGCGCTTCGACAAGATCTGCTACTGTGGTCCGAAGCTGAGATGCCAAAGAAGAGGTCCAGGTGAGAAAGAAGAGGTCCAGGTGAACTGGAAAGACATCTCTGGTTCCTGTTTCGTTGATGTTGGATTAGCTTCTAGACTGATGCCTCGTCTGTTTCTATGTCAAAGTGAGACGAACTCCTTGCGAGGATCAACTACTGATGAGCAGACAAACATCACCAACTCAATGTGCTGGACATAACATAGATATTTGCTTGATTTTTTTAGTCCACCTCGTTCCAGCTGGCGCAACCACATGCGCATTTTCTTTTGATTTTCAGCCTGTCGTCTCAGACAGCGGGCACCGGTTCCCGGCTGTCAGCTTGGAGCCGGTTCCAGGCTTGCCAACGGAGGAGGAGAAGCTGGAGATTTGCCAGATCTTAGCGAGGTGAGGGACCAAACACTGAGACTGACCAGTCTCACCAGTCTTCTCGAGTGAAACATGTTTCTGGAAATCCGCTGGGTGTCCCGAAAAAAAAGAACGCATGAATGCCAAGCATTTGTAAGTCGTCTTACAAAAGAAGCTTAACAACTGTAACTGGTCAATGTGTGATCTATTGGCCACAGTCCAGACATAGGAATTAGCAGGAAACTTGATTCTAAGATGCAAACATAGTCCAAACAATCTTCAGCGCCACTCCTTTCGAGGAAAAATAGTCTCAGCGCTGATGGTGATGATCTCGTGGCCAGGGTCTGAGTGAGACACCAGGGATATGTCACTCCATGGTGCTTCCTGGGTCACTAAGAAGGCTGTCGGACTTTCGGTTAATTTTTCTTTCAAAGGACGGGGTCTGACTGGCGTGTGTGAGTGTTTAAGGGCATGGACCTAGCAAAACTCAGCAAAGCCTTTTAGGGAAGTCTCACAGACTAAAGAGATTACAGACGTAGTCTGTGGGGACCAACGAATCTCAACGATCTGTGATCACGGGAGAGTCCAGTTTCAGCGATCTGATGACAGGCCCGGTCCAGACGAAGCCGCCCGGCACGGCGCAGCATTTGCTCCCAAGTGGCTGAAGCAGAAAGATCCCAAGTCTGAGCAGATCCAGGAAAGACCAGCAGAGAAAACGGCTGAAACACATCTGGTAGTCCAAACCTGTCTAATCCCTTCTGATAGGTTGTCCTGATCTTGGCCACTCCAACGATACTCCACGCCACTCCACGGCGTGCGTAGCACGCTGGGCCGCTGGGCTCGGGGGGCATCGTATTGTCACGACACATGCCGCCTTCAGACCAGACCCATTTGGAGCCAGGACCAGGGGGCCGGGGGCGCCAGTCGGTTGTTCCAGGTGCCATTAAGGACCGTCCTCCCAATGAGTGGTAGGACTTTTATTTTTTGTGAATCAATTTGGGAAGTGATGGACCTGGCAAATCTGGGAGGATTGAGCACATACACCGGTGGACTGGTAGGCCAGACTTTAGTATCCAGCCATCACATGATGCGAGCGGCTGATGGTGGTGCTTCTCATCTCGGATTGCCCCAAGAACATCCCAAAGCATGATTGCCTTATGTAGAGGGGATGGACCGATGGATCAAAAGATCCAGACAGGGACATTTTGTAGGTTTGTTTTCTGGTCTATTCACCCCTACTACGAAGGGCTTCTCTTGTGTCACCTTAGATTATTGGATCACATCATTGACCTACATTCTGCAGAATGAACAAGTGGTGTGTACACTGCAGGAGTTCTTTGTTCAAACGAGTCAGCTCATTCGCCTTTGAGATGCAATTTGGTGGTGCTGCACTAGATAAACGACACCAGATGTACGGATGAAACCAGTCTCTGTCATCGTGCCCGACTCTCCCAACCGACTGTTCTACTTCCTACTTCACTGTCCTCACCGTTCACCCATGTTCTGTCACTCTTCATGATTCAACACGAGCTACTTTTGTGCCACAGGAGCATCACGTGTATCCACCTCAAGCTCTCGGCCATCGAACTCTTCGCAAGCCGTCTCCAATGACTCTCAAGCTGCGGTATCTGGGACTGGCTGGATGTTTGGTCCGGACGGTCATCCCAGGCCCTTCTTATTTGTGTGAACTAGTCGAGTCAATTTATCAGGCTTATATTCAGGTCCTTTTCTTCGATGTTTGTCTGCCTGAGAACACAATGAAGAGGTTTGTGTTGGGATTTGCAAAAAACCTGAGGCCAGGCCAAAGCCAAGAGACTTGGGTACCACAAGTCATGGAAAGCCCCCAACTAATGAGTTAAAAGGACCACCATCGCCATCACATTTAAGGAAGACCTTGTGTATTTTACCTCCAGGACCTTGGTCTACTAAAGTTCATACCCACACCCTCGTTTCTGGGTCAGAATGACACTGGTCTTTGTCTTGCGGGCCAGCCTTCCCACTCCTGACTCGGACTCTACACCGCCTTGCAGCTTCGGTCTAGACGATCTTCCGTTCGATGACCAGTATACATGTAGAAGTTTTGATTCGCTTAGAATTCTCTTTTCTTTCTTGTAGCCCCAGTGCCTCAAGGCTATTGGCTAGACCATTTTCTGGCTGCATGAAGCGTTAAAAACAGCCCTGGTGCCTGGTGGCCCCTGACCCTGTGATTCGTGTGATTTTTGCGCATGGTTAAGGAACCCACTCGAACGGGCTCCGAAGGAAATGCAGGCAGCGTGCCTGCGGACGCCTGCATGTGGAGCCAGATTCTTTTAAAAGTATTGGATTAAATGATACGTTGGGTATGGTACAGTTCAAAGAGATTTCTGCTGATCCCACACGGCCCGTGTGCTGAGTCGGTGTTCTGGAATGGGACAGATGCATATGCACATGAACCACACCACGTTCTAGTTGCAAGCTACAGTCCTAATCCCATTGAAACGAGGAGCGCCTTCTATGGGTTTCTTGGTCTAGTCTAAGCGTCTCTGATCACATCATTTCAGATTTCTCTCATATGAACATGTTGCGTTGAAATGGTTTGTTCGGTGCATAGATCTTGCAGCTCTGTCGCTCCCTTCCGACCAGATCGGCGAAACATGCTTGCAGACACACGCGCAAAGCACGCGAGTCGGCGAGCAGAGATTGAAAATGTCAGGGAGAAAGCGCGACAGGAGAGGCAGTGGAGAATGTACTGGTAGGACAGACAGTGACAGCTATGTGCATATATCTATATATACATATGCATGTGTATATATATATATGTATATGTTGTATACAATTAGATATTGTGTTGGTTTTGTGAAACACTTTCAGCACTTCCCTAGGTGGCATGTGTCTGCCACCAGCCTTTTTTCTCTGTGATGCATAGAAACGGATCGAAACGGAGCAGTGGTTATTGGGTTGTTATGCTTAGTTGGATCCAATCTTTACATTTCCCACGGCATGCAATGGATGTGGCAGATGGCTGCCCCTTGCGGCCCACTGTACAGCGTCACCAGCGCCCCTTCAAACCCGAAACAAAGCATTTTTCTGAGTGCCACAGGATTTTGGAGGGTTGTTTATAGCTTCCGTGCGTGGACTGGCCGGTGTTTCTCCGGACCGAGACGGTCTCGAACAGGAGAACCGAGGTGCACTGCCCCCAGCACCAGACATTCGGCTCTCGCGGCGCAACTGGAACCGCGAGTTCGGAGCTTGGAATCTGGGAGTTCGCGAAGTTCGGAGCCGGTTCGCGGAGCGTAGCCGGAGCGTTCGGGGGAACGGTCGGTTCAGCTGGGAACGGTTGATTCGGTCCATTAAAAAGCCAGAAGGAACCGTTTCTTTCGACAGAAGGGAGTTTGATTCTGACGAATAGATCTGAATAGAAGCTCCCCAAGCTTTAAATGGGTCTCCAGTCTCCCACACTTTTCCAAGCATTTGGCGTCAATTGCAAATAGAAATCAGTTTATATATAAATTCAAGCTTTGCTGGAATTCAGCGAGGCACGTGAGTCTTCGGAATTTTGGGGGTTTTGTTGCTGGTGGTTCCTCGTGCAAACCTTCACAAGATGTCATGAACACAAAGCACCAACACCTTAAGCCTTTGGCTTGGGGAAGGGTCCTTCTTGAAATAGCGGATCAAACAACATAGCAAAGCACAATTCCTTAGTTGTAACATGTTGTAACTGCCTCTCAGATGGTCCAAGCTCCATGTGTTCAGCCAGCAAGTCGCAAGAGGCGGTCTTTTTTTCCTGACCAACCCCAGAAACAACGAGTGGGTTGAGTCGCATTTGCTGTCCCGATGGTCGCTGAGGAAGCAAATCTGCTTGGGTCGTGGCAAAGGTCGTCGTGGAAAAGGCCGTCGTGGAAAAGGCCGTGCTGGAAAAGACCAACGTGGCAAGGGAGACAAAGGCCGGGAGAAGAACAGGCTCTTATTTCCTGGAGACAATTCGATGTTGAACATTTTAAGGTGTATTTGTGGTTTGTTTCAGTATAAAGAGAGCCAATATGATCCAATTGAAGTGAATTCAGGATGCATAACAGTATGCTTAACCCACAAGCAATACTTGTGTTGAATGAATGGGTGGCTTGATGTTCATTGCACTAGACCCTACTTGTAGGTTTTCACATGGACGCAGTGTCCATGGACAGCATGTTGCAGCACATATAATTGCCCAAAAAGTGTCCGGACATGTGGCGATATGTTCTTTGCAAAGCCGAGGTGGTGCAAGAATATGTCCATCAAACCTATCTATTGAACCAAAAAGGACTACAGTAGAAACCACCTGCACCATACTTGCGACGACGCTTGTTTTGCTCAGTGCTTTGAGCACTCATGTTTTTGATGGCAAATGTCTAGGGGTTTGCTACAAGAAAGTCTAAGGAAAGACAACCCAGGAGTTTCACCCTGCACAGGTGGTTGTGTGACTCCCATCACTGGACGGAATGCGAGCATATATGAATGGATATATCTAAAGAAAGGATAAGAAAGGAACATGACAGACACCCTTCTACGGCTGGCGAGGACATTTCCAGGGAGATTTGGTGTGTCAAACATGCTTGAGACCAAAAACTGATACTCACAAGTTGGTAAGCGCAAACAGAATAAGAGTTACTGTACATTCTTAGCTGAAGAGCCGCTCAGGTTTTCTTGGAATAAGGTAGAGATAGGGGGCAAAGCGGGGCTGTACTGGTGCATACATGGGAGGCAAATGCAAGAATGTCCACGGCAAGCAAGCGGACTGACAGGCGCTCGAATGAAACACTCGAGCCTGCAGGCTTCGTTGAAGGTCGTTGGCCCCCCACTAGCTGGATTGATAGCCAAATATGGCCAAGCATAGTTGGTGAGTACTACAACACCACCCGGCGCATATTGAATCAACCGGGAGACATTTTTTGGGCACTGAATTACAATCAATCACTGTATCTGTATAGCGGCCATCAAGCATGAATCTCTGCATTTGAGACTCACCAGCTACTAGGCAGGGACCGCTGTGCGCGTTTCTCATGCTGCTTTGCACTGGTAGCTTCATGCTGCCGTGTTTCGTATTGATTTGCTCATTCGAAGACAATTAAAGATAGTTTTGTTGGTCAAGGTGGAAGACACTCACAGTGCCTTCGAGCCATTTCCTTGACTCTTGGAAGATTGCATATATCACTCAATTCAAGAGTCTGATCGCTTGGCCTATTGTCATGCCTGTATAGCTCACACACTCAAGATACTATTGAGTGCTAAGCTTTAAAATCAAAGATGATGCAATCTTCCGTTTGCAACAGATTTTGGCTTCCACAATCTGGGTCCAGGCTTGCCTTTACTGTAGCTGGCTGGTCCAGGTACATCTAATTTGTCGTTTTGCAGTCAGCACCTGCTGTCGCTTGTAAAAGATGCGATGGTGTAACTGCAACCTCTATCCAAGGCGCAACAGATTGTGGATGCAAAAGGAGCCAAGGGGTAATTATTGCGCACCATGCCAACGGGCCTTTTGATTTTTAGAGAAGAATGACACAAAAAACATGATTTCGATGCACACCGCACTTGCATAGCCACGATTCAGCAGCACCTCAGCTGCCTTAGCTGGTTGCTGATAGCTGGCCAATCCAACCGTGGCCGGTTCATTCGATGTGATGTAGGCATGCCTCAATCCACCTCCACAACCAACTCCGGGTTGGCAGAGAGCCCAAAAGTGTAAACCAATCCAGCCAGGGGTTTGGGATGTGACCACGTGAAGATCTCTAGCTTGTTGCCGGTCGCCTTTTTGAACATTCGTCCTCCCACAAAGGCTTCCTTGTTGATAGATGACCATCACAATTTAATAGACACGTGCGCTCTTAGATCAGCTCTCTTCATCTACAGTCTCCCTCTCTGTAGCCAAACTAACGTGGTTGGACCACGTTTCGGTCCATCACGTTCGGATCTTCCAACGTCCGCTGCGCCTTGAACGACTGCCATCTGCTTTGCCGGGCTTTGCTGCGCCCAGGCTTTGCTGCGCGAGTTGGTGGCCTGTCTCCCGAAGCTCTTCACCTGTGCAGACGTGAACGCGCTCTTCTCCTCCGCGAAGATTGAAGCGGTGAACCAAGCATTGGGGTCCGGCTGGCTCAGAAGGGAGATGCAGACGACATGCATGGGATGGCTCAGTTTTTGTCCGGTGACTTCTTGAAGGGGATTCTTTCTGACTGTACCCAACCCTTGTATATTATATACAATGTATGTGCTATTACATGGTTCGTTAGGATCTTTTGTTTGGTCCACTACATCTAGTGCAGACCGGGTGAGGACCCTTGCATGCCTATACCGGCCTATACCAATTCAATCCAATTCGACCACGTGATTGACAAGTAGTGACGATTAGTGGTTCATGGATATTCAGACACTTTGGGTAAAATCCTGGTAGTTTCCATGTACATCAGAAACATGAATGGAAGATTATGGAAGGCTCAGCTGTGGATTAGAACAGAATTGAGCAGGCTCGGGTTTGATTTTTTCTTTATGCTATTACAGTGACAGGTGCATTGTCTCTATATACTCTTGTCATTCCCAATCAGCAATGAAGACTAGAATTCGATCCCTCTACCCCACTCAGTGGCATTGATTCGTCAAGACACGACTGGGCCTGCAGGATTCCGGGCGAATTGCAGCCGGTTCTTGAGGAAAATCATTACAGAAGAGATCGTTGATGTAAAAAGCTAGGGAGCAAGGAGACTACTTTCGGCCGCGGGATGGGTTGCTTTGTTTCCTGAGGCAAAAGGATTCAATTGCTCAGCCAAAGATGATGTTGAGCTGGGGACTCTGAAGCACGGCCTTCGGCACGCGACGGATTTGCCGCGCGTGCGCTGTCGGTCCAGCCGCAAAACACCCACGGTCCAAGAAGAAGTGAAGGGGCGTGCAAAGGCTTAAAGAATTGGGGGTTATTCTGCTTCCTCTCAGATTCCATTTCAAGAAGTAGCAGTAGCAGTCCCAATATCTCCATTTTGCGAGGGTCGGTAAAACTGACTGGGACTCGATGTCTCTAAACATCCTCTGCAGACTCCAGTTCCGCCGCGGGGTTCGGACACCGCGAGCAGAGGAAAGTGGACACCCTGTGGACACCGCGAGCAGTTTGGTTTGCACATCCACCATTCCGGAGCATTTTGTTGTTGCTGAAAAATCACAGGGAGGTGAGGGTCCCATGGGAAGAGGAGGACTCAAAAAGGACGAACATCCCACAAAACCTCCTATATCATCGAGAGTGAGTCGCCAATTGAGAGTTGTGGTGATGCCACTTAGCGGTTCTTACATACTGCACACGTGGCTGTGGTAGTTGTGCGAGCCTTGTTTCAGGCGTGCTTTTTGGGGACTTCTACTTGATTGGGATGGACGATGCACGACCAGTTTTGACAAAAACAGCAGGAAAGCCCACCGCACGAGGGCTCAACCGGGGTTCATAGATGCTGCATCACTTGGACGACTTGGACCTTCAATGTCTGGCTACCTTGACCTCACCACTTCTTCTCATAGTAAATCCAAACCACTGACCAGGCATGACACCAGCCGTGACTGCTGGTCATGTCGGCACCGCGTGGAGTGCATGCTGGATCTCCTGTGTCCAGGGGCGGACCGACTGTGACGTCCCAGGTCACCTGTACGAGGCCTTAAGCACCTCCAAGGCACCGGTGACCGCGGTGCGGACCGCGGTCGGAAGGGCTGCCAGGCTGCACCGTGGATCGGTCACCGGCACATGGGTGGGATTGGGCACATCCATTAAAACGAACAGGTGAAAGAAGGTTAACTGTTGAACTATATATGTTGAACTCTATTTTCCAGTGGCTTTAGGGGTTTAAGCTGTTTGAAGGGTCAATGTAGGTAAATATTCCATACCTTGATTGTTTGGACGTACTTGCCAGGTCGTCAGTTCGAGGGTATGCACCAAAGTCCATCTGAAGGATGGTCAGGATTTGCGAAGGACTATATATACCTGGGCATGAATGGGGGACACCAGCTCCTAGCCTTACCTTGACATTGGATTTCTATACATAATGACTAATTATTAATCCAACTCCACCAGCACCTGTCATTTTGGGAACCGTCGGTTTTGACAGTTTTCATCATGTCCTTTGGAGGTCACATTCTTCAGGGTCCCCCCCCGTCAATGTGAAAACCGTCATGGCCACTGCGTGGGTTGTGACAACCTACCAACTCCCCACATGCTGGGCAACAGCCGACAGAAATGAAATCAAAGAGATCCCACAAAACTGGCATGATGTATATAAGGGTGTTTGAAGAGGACGAACGTTGGGTGCAGAGGGGAGGAGAGTTGCTGCGTTTTCCTTGGGCCGTCATAAACCACGAAGGAAAAACCACAGCAACCTATAGACTTAAAGTGACTGTGAAGCTCTTTCCAACAGGACATGATCAGAATGGAAAGGAATAGAGCCAGGAAATACAATCATAGCTTGATCCCCTAAAAAGAGTCATCTTCCCAGGATTTTGGCCATTGTTTGTATTCCCCAAGCTCATTTTGGCCAGACTCCAGACCGTTCATTGCACCTGAACTCCAAATCCGCCCGATGTTGACCCGATCTCTAGAAGACTCTGAGTATCTCTGAGTCTTTGACACTTGTTTCTAATAGCAAACATTGTTACTACTAGTAAGGCACTTGTTACTAGAAGCGATGCACTTGTTCCTAGTAGCTTATTAACTTCACATCCGCCATCCCATCTCCACCCGAACTGCCGGTCTCGGTGCCAGGCCTCAGTCTCGCCCGCCGATGAGCGCCGCTACGGCGAGATCTTCGCGCCCTACTGCCGACCGGCGAAGAGCGGGACGCCGTACGCGTACGGTCTGGGGCGACGATGGCAGCTGGTCACAACATGTAGGCTATAGAGCCCTGCAAGTAACCCTGCAGTAGGCTATCCTGGGAAAGGTCGGACATGACAGCACTCCATGGGCACTCCCGTTGGGCAATCCGATCTCCGAAGGGTTTTCCGAAGGGTCGGACTCTGTGACCCGCGTGTCGGTTGGAACCAAACCTGAGCGGGCTGCCAGTCGAAATCGATCTACGATGAGAGAGAAATCCGTTTTCATAGATGTTCCAAGGGTATCCACCTTTCAAGTCTATTTTCCGAATCCCTTTTCTTATTTCTCCAGTCTTCACTCACTGAGGTGGCGGGACTGGAAGCCGTGGTGGTCCGACACAGGAAGTCAAAGCAGTGAAGGCTGGGTGTGTCCAGTGCGTCAGCAGCTGAAGAGCTGCTGAAGAACGTCAATGTGAGCATGGTGCTTCAACCCAAAGCTTTGAGGAGATAAAGAAGGAAGTATTGCTCACAGTGAACACTGCAGTACTGAAAGGGAAGCTCCATTCTGGATTTGATTGGTTTCGTGGCAGTTTCATATCAATGTTGGAAGGTGTAGGTCCGAATCTACCAATCTTTCTACTTGTGCAAGTGATTCCACTGACCTGCATGCTGAGCCGGTTCAGTTGCATCTCAGCGGACATTTCTCCACACAATTCGAAGGGAATCGAATCGAACGAACTGCTTGTTACTTCAATCATTCAGAGGCTACATACGGCCATTGAAAACGTTGAACTTTCAACCGCAATGCTGACAGACATGAACCGTCAACACCTTGAATCTTGATCATTTCTTTTACTGATTGGCAGGTGGCGCTTGCTTGACTTGCAGAGCTGCGAGAGAACCAAAATCAGAGAGGAATTGGACCAGCTTGCTTGCGGCATTAGTTATATTGTATATAATATATATATATAGTTTATTATATGGGTGACTGTTGGCTTCCATACTTGCAACAGAGGAGCTAGAAAGCCAAGGTTTTGACCTAGAAGATCCTAGAAATTTAGACGCATACCCGAGCTGTTTGAAAAAGAGATAGACCAATTCATTGGGGGGCAGGATGCCAGTTATTTTGATCCCACGGACTTGTTGACTCACATGACTTTCGACTCTGTGCTGGATTAGAATTCATGGACACTGCCTAACCCCGTTCTGAAAATGCTCACAGCATCACAAAGACAGAGAGTGATAGTCTCTACAGCTATGGCAGGTGGTGGTGGTGGTGGTATTGGAACAGGGAGCTCCTGGGAAGAGCAACAACAGACCAAAGCTGACTCTTGGGTTGGCCCAGGAAAGGCCTTCGGCTGACCACATTTCACAGACATCCCACCTTGCACATGTGCCTCAAGAGTCTTAAGAGATTACTCAGTTCAGTTACGACGGAATGAAATGCCATTTGTCCAACAGATTCCTGCTTTGCAAAGCAATGACCGGTGAGACTCCTGCAGAGCCAAGGCTTTTTAGCCCATATTGACGCTCAACGGGCTTCTCCTCCAGACAGACCGCTCGAGGACGACCCACCAGAACTTACCGGAAGCCTCCACTAGAAACTCACTTTATAGCTATGGCTACTTTGGCCCTGAGCTTGGCTCTGCTATGGCTTTGGGCACCAGCCGCCAGCATAGTGGGGCAGCCAAGAAGCGCGTGGACACTATCCCCCCAACCGGTCTGGTGCCGTTCCAAGGAGCCACCGAGCTTGCCGCTGAGGACGAGCGGTTGGGTTTGAAGCGGTGTTTGGAGGATCCAAAGCGTATGAAAACGCGTATGGATTCATTGTAGATGAAGGACGTCCACTGAAAATGATCTTCTTGTTCAATGTGAAGCCATAGTAGATACAGTAAGGTGTAACAGTTGAACTCAAGCAATGCTGGATAAAACCATGAACCTCCATCCAGTCGTTTGTTTGCCGGTTCCGCGATGAATTCCCATTGGGGTCCGCTTTCTCCATCCACGTCTTCGCCACGTCGTCCCACGTCTTCCTGGGCGCAGGACCTCTGGACGCTGGATTGTGGACCAGCAGGGTCTCCGCGTGAAGCTCGCGTGTGTCAACTGGGCTGGCGCCGAGGTGAAGGTGCGTGATGTCAACAGAGAGAAGACCAGTTGAACTGACCGGGTCAGGAAGGGTGAGGTGATCCTTGCTCCTCATCCAAAGTGATTTTGCTGAACTTCCTGATTCATTCTAAGAACAGTGACTTCCACGGGGCTTGAATCTTGGGGATCCCAACTTTCAGCCAAGGATACTTTTTCATGTTACCCAAATCTATATTATATGTTTCCTTCTTCACAGGGCATTTTGTTCAGAAATGCAGAGCCTTCCTTCCATGCGCCAAGCGCAGCTCGCAACCCGCAGGATGGTGTGGTGGGGGGGCTTGCATTTGCGAAGTGCTTACAGTCCGGAACCATATGGAACATCGGGTGGGGATTGCAACCCATTATATTGTACACGTGTTACTTTAGCTTATTTGGCTTGCACCAGATAAAGCATTCGTGACTTCATGCGCAGCATACAGGTGACAGCTTGCAGTCTACTTGGATGCGTCGTTGTCGTCGATTCGTTGGGATTTCATTTCGGTTTCTCGTGATGTGCCCAGAGGGACTTCGCAGGGTTTTTTGTCGATTCATTGGAGAAGTAAGCAGACCTGGCTGGAATACGAACGAGAAACGCGGAGGCTGGAAAGGTCTTGGGTTGAAGAATCTACAAACAAAGTACTGTAAGCTGAATGGCTCAACCGGCTCAACCGGAGAAACAGCAACGAGGAACAATTCACGTACAGAAAACACACCCATTGCTGAGATAGTTTTGATCTTTTGGGGCTAAGAGTCTAGTATTCTTATCACCATTTTCATTCATGGTTCCTTTCTCAAGAGTCTTCACTTTTCCGGCTTTGGGAAGGAGGATTCAAGGATGCATTCACTGCCAAGGCATTGCCAAGACCTTCCGCGAGATGGGTTTCAATTGCGTTCGCTTTCCATGGTCCGTGTGGATGGCGCCAGCCCTCAGAAACATGCTCCCGGAGCGATAAGGAAGGGGCCGGGTAGTGGGCCAGGTCCAAAGGTTTGGACTGTTTTGCTTCACCTTATCCTTATCCACCTCGTTTTCTGTTTTGAAAGGAATCAACACAAATCAACATCAATGTGCCGGTCAGATGTCCTAGTTTTCGGGGTTCGATCAGGGTGACTTTGGACCGTGACGCCGGGGCGGACGGGGCCGAGGACGCTGGTCGGTTGGTGTGGTTGCACGTGGGAGGAAGCCAACTGCTTTCAGTCGGTCATTTTAAAGGTATACCTTTTGGCAACAGCCTGTTGGTTTGGTGTGGTTGCACGTGTGGTCATGCCGAGTCATGCATTCAAAAGAGCTTGCCTTGGGCCCCAACACAGGCTCTGTAATATTCCCACCCAACAGGGAGTTATATTATAATGACATCGGGCATGAGGCGAGGAAACCACCCGTTTTTTTTCTAGTGAGTCAGTCATCAACCCTAAAAGGATCCAGCCATCCTAAAACATCCAGCTTGAGTCTGTCCTATTACTTGCAACAGTCAGTAAACCAACAAATTACTCCTTTGAAGCCAGGCGTCCAACCGAACCATCATCATCCACTGGGCCCTGGCAGGATAGACCCAGGATCCATCTTTTTGAGGCCAAATTGGAGATGTTCAGGGCCTCCAATTCCCACGCCATACGTTTCCTCAGGTCCAACGTGACCCCACGCTGCCCATGGAGCTGCAGGTCGTACGGGAATGCAGTGTGTGTGTGGGGGGGACCGGATTCAATGGTACTCAAAGCAACATTTGTTTTGGATTATGATGTGCTTAAAAGTTGCAGTTTCCATGTTCAAATCATTTGCCACTTGCCGAAAATGAAGAGACTTTTTGCAGGCTCCCTTATTGATGATGGGGGTTTCAATCACACTGGAAGGTGGATGACCGCGAAACCCAACAAACACCCTGCCCCAAAAGAGTGGCATCGAATCATCCCATCTGGGGCTCTTTTATTCGGTGAAAAAGAACGGACCCGCGCTGGACAGATGGTGCCCGATGGAGCCAGGACACGCTGCTGAAGGCCAACCCACAGCTCCGAGGTGCGACGGCGCTGGAGATCCTGGACGCTGCTCCTCGGCGGAGGCGGAGATCGGGTTTCGTGAGATCTTGGAGCAGGTGGAGTGGAAGAGTGTTCAAGGTGGAGGAGTGGGGAATGTGGTGAAGGGGGGGCTGGTGGTTGTGGCGTGCTTGTCCTCAGAAGATGCTTCATGTCATGGGATGAGAAGATGCTCCAGAACACATCATTTACAAAATGGAACCGCTGCAAATCAGTGGTTCACGACTGCTTATGCGACGGTGGGAGAAGGGAATCTTTGGGTCAGCTCGGCTGAGGTTATTGATGCATGCGCCGGGAACTCGGACATCCCGGGGATGCCTTGGAGGTGCAGGGAGGCGTATACTCATACAAAGTACAAAGTGGGTGAAACATGGTGAAACCAAGTGAATTCTTGAGTTGCCAAAGGCTGCACATCCACGGCAAGACGGGAAAGCCGACATAGGCCAGATGTGTTGGAAGCACGCATGTATACGATATTGTGTTTTCGGAGATCACCTGCCACAGAATTCATCCAGTTGGGATGGTCTTTGTCCTCAAAGCTCCTTGGGGCCTACAAATAGCAGTGTAGCAGCTGAGGCCTCTGCTCAGCTCTTAGTGATCCTGGACAACCACGTGTCAGATGGCGTGAGTCTTAGCGTTCGTTTTGGAAGTTGGAGAAGTGGTCCGAGATGTTCAGGTCCGTCAGAGACGCATAAAGCCTGGAGAGTTCTGAAGTCCTTGACAATGTCGTTGGAGTTATACATCGAGGCAAAAGTTCCGTGTCCAAAGTGATAGTTTGTGTGGCAATATGTGGCAATCATGAAATGAACTTTGCTTTCAGAGGGTTGACTTTTGGCTTCCAGGAACTTGGTGCTGTTCAGATGTGGATGAGAACGGCCTTTGGCACAATAGTCGCTGGCCGACCAGTGATTGGTTGCAGGCCGAGCTGGATTGATGGATGCTGAGGGATCAGAATCTATGCCTCGCTCCTTGTGAACCGGAGTTGTTTTCTCCCAAAAAGGGATCAACCTCAAAGATTCCAAGTTTCCTGGTTACTGCAGAGGAGGTCAGATGACGAACGTGATGGTTCCTGGGTTAGTCCATAAGATGGGGACGGATCAGAACCTGAAGCCCTGGTCCACCATGTAGCTTGATCTTCCGGTATCCAGGTTTTGACCCACAGCCATGCCTGCATAATCCCAAGCCAACGCAGCTGGTTGGACTGCTGCACCTCACGCAAGTCCTCACGCATTGTCGTCGCACCGCCCGCGACGCGCGTTTTGTTCGCACAGGCACACCTGAAGCTGGCCTCCCGCTACGCCAGGTGCAGAGACTCCTGTTGCTGCGATCCTGTTGTACCTCTCTTTTTCATTGTGGAGACTCTAGAACCATCTGAAGCATTTGACCAAAGAGATGTGTCAAATCAGCGCGACTTAACTAACACTAACCACCAAGCATCGCAGAGGCAAGGATAAGCGCCATTTCGATTTAACTTGTAAAAGCCCAGCTCGAGAGAAACGGCAAAGACGGCGCACCGTTTCTCTCGATCCACCGCGGTCTCTCCGACCGCCGTCGCGTCTGCGGTCGGCTCCACCGGAGGCAGCCGTGGGTCGTGGGCACCGAGCTGCGAAATGAGGCGAGCACGGCGCGGTTCGTCCGGTCCAACTGGGTGACCGACCGGTGAGGTGCGCGCCTCGACACAGGGCACGCCGCAATGGGGCGGTGGTGGGCCCAATGCTCGGGAGCTCAGCTGGTGATGAAGAAATATGAGCAAAGGGAGGAAGGATGAACAATTGATGGAACAATTTTGTTCATTTGAGTGGAGGAAGGATGAACTGCTGCATGTGGCAATGGGGTCCTCCTCCTTCTTCTTCTTGAGGTCCCCCAAACCAGGGGTCCTCGGCGAGGTCCACTCTGCCCCACTTGCTGTCCCGTGCTCAGGATTGGCATGCCGCCGCAACCCAGGCGGGTAATGCCGTGCTCACGGTGAACCCCCATTTGCTGATTATTGTGGAGCGGAACCTCAACGGACCGGAACGGGAATGGAGGGGTTTCTCCAGGCGACCCAGTCGCTGGGGTCACTGGGTTCAGGGTTTTCTTTTGACTTATCGGGAGTTGGTTCAAGTTGGTTCAAGTAGTATTTGAAGGACACAGAATATCTTGACAGAAAAGCAGTTTCCATTCCATGGAGACCTTTGTGTGACCCTTATGCTTGCGGTAGAACGTGGCTGGTCATACTGGTAAGACAGGGTCATCCAAGGAATGTGCTGTTGTGGCCAATAGGCAAACTTCCTCTTTGTGGACGATTGGTGTGTTCGATCTCTAATTGTATATATATATATGAATGGCAGAGCAACTGAGGAAAGTGGAAGACCTCATTGAAAGAAACAAATCAGCGACCTGTGTAACAAAAGTTTGGCAAGGCTTAGCATGTTCCTGAGGATCATCCTCTTGTCCCACAAGCTAAGGGTGGCCTTGGCTACGGCAAAGACTTGACTGGTGTGTTCAGGCAGGGGAAGAGATTGGAATACACATGACAGCTATTGACAGCTGTTTTCTGACAGGCTTGGACCTCTGATTGTCATGCTACAGTACAGTGCGCTTTTTCCTTGATTAATTAAGTTTGAACAAACATGGAGCTGTAGATGCACTCTGAAGCACCAAAAAAGGTTTATATGTTCCAAAAGCTGCCACTTTGCTAAGCTTTTTGCTTGTTCGGTTCGTTTCGTCCTGATTCGTTTCGAGCAAATAGCTCTTTTGAATTCCTCGACCTGGTCAGGTTGCCCGTTCATCTCAAAACACCTGAGAAGTTGGTGAGGAGCTCAGAGGGGATGGCAGTTGTACTGGGTAGGCCCGGCCTGTGCGTTCACCAGTCACTTTCTTTCACTCGTGAAGTCTGGTGTGGTAGGTAGTGTGCACCGTGGAAACACAGTGCCGCCCTGGCCCTGTGCCCTTCCGTGCCCCGAATTGGAGCGTCCTTGCTACCAGTACCTTCTTGTTACTAATAGCGATGGCCTCCACCCTAATAGCAATGGCCTCCACCCAAATTGGAGCCCGCCAGGTTTACAGTGCTCACTCTTATTCGTGGTCTTATCCAGGCTTGCCCGACACTTATGAGGCCAGGTGCGAAGGAAGGAGACGCGGACGCGTCAGACGCGATGCAAGACGCGTGTTTTTTAATGTTTTTTTTGGATGGATCAGGTATCACGAGAATATTTTAGACCACTGATGGGCGTTTTCCTGCAACATGCCGCAACCATAATTTTCCGGGCATTCCAAACTTTTCTCATGTTGATTTACAGTATTCCATGCTTGTGAGATGTGAACCAATCAAACGATGGGTACCAGCGCGCAATACTAGGCGCTTCATGCTCAGCTGGGCAAAGACTGGGGCTTCATTGTGGAGGACGAGAGGCCCTTCACTGCGCCAGTCTGGGTCAGTGAGTTTGGCACCTTCAGCGATTGCCATAAGGACGGTCCAGGGCGGTCTTTCTGGCGATTTCTCACGCATGTGGAAGAGTATATATATATAATATATAATTATGATATATGTTAAACTTGTCAAACTCAGGACAGGGGCTGTAGGTGACTTCCGGGAATCACTGAGTTTAACGGTTGAAATATTGATAAATATTGCAAAGAGACAGCGCTTTTTTAGCCTATCCTCTCGAGTGTCTCGTTCCATTCTTGTTATGATTAACAATGGTGTTCTTCCTGCCTGGCTCTTGGTTGTGCTTTTTGACTTTGGCCAATACAACTCATATATATATATACACACTATATAATATACTTAGGGTCTGTCCTATTACCTGTAACGGTCAGTAAACAATTATTACTATTTTTGAACAAGGCCTTTACTAAGCATCATCATCCACTGGCAACCAGGTAATAGGATAGATCCAAGATATATTTATATAACCTTGTGCGACTCCTGTGTTTTTTTTTGGAAGGACTCCTGTGCGAACTGGTGGCCCGACTTCTTGAGATATCTTGAGCAGGCCCGCCATGCCGAAAGTGAGCAAGAGGGTAGTCATTTGGGTAGTCATTTGGGTATACCCATTAGATACACTGTGCTGCTGAATTTTCTCAGCATAGGTTATATTCTGTGATTTGTTCTTCCCCAACACGAGAATTGATACCTAGCTCTATTAAAGCGAAAGATCACTCTTCCAACCCCTTGGAGCGCCTGGTCCGCTGTCGCTGTCGCGGATTCAGCGCGGATCAGGGAGACTTTGATTGGGCCGTGTGGCATGCGGACGGCACGTGGAGCCATGATGACTTGCATCCCTTCCATGGCCCAACCAGCCGGGCTGCCTGGTGACGAGACTTGATCTAAGTGCGACTAGACATGCTGATGATGCTTAAGGTCTTGCAAATCTTCTTTATTTGTTTTTACTTTCCAAGCAAAAACGATGGGGAAGTAGATACTATCGAACAAATATATGATGTACAGTCATTGTGCCTCCTGGAGGCCATTTAGCCACGTGGTGTTTTTGAGCTGTGCAGTGAAGATGGTCATTTCGCTTCAGAACAAGGGTGGCCCTCCCAAAATCGGACCTTCGGTCAATTCCTTCCCATGATGCATGACCGCCTTCCTCGCCAGACTATGGGGTCTTGGCGGCGGATTGGCAGCGTCCGGCAGCCGACGGCGAGCTTTTGGCGGCGCTGAAGACGATCCAGGTGAGCGGGTTAGGGCAATTGAGGCCTCCACCCTCTCAGTATGGTTGAACTGTTGAACTATGGTTGATTGGGATTCTGATTGGTTTCTAACCATCTGGCGGCGGAGGGGCACTTCTGGCTCCAAGGCACCAGTGCTTTTCCTCCAAGCGATAATCTCTGAAGGGTTTGAGGATCCAATGATGGGTGGGGTCATAGGGAAGGGTGCCAAACACCGGTGTGGTGAGGAGTCAGGAGGATTTGGGGTTGATTTCAGAGGCTGGTTCCCTGTTTTGCGACCAAAGTCACCTGTGGCCTGTGGGTGATAAGTTGATAAGTTGAAGCTTGGGATTGATGAGCACCAGCAACTACTTGTATGGGCCGTATGGGTGTGTTGTAGCGTGTCTCAGAATCAGAAACCACTGGCACACTGGTTTTTCAATGTTTTTTCATCTAACTGTTCCTTCTACCAAACGAGTTCTGCATTTTATGTGGATCCTAGTCACTAGTCTTCCGAGACCAACCCATATCATTGTGTTTAGATACTTGCACTTGGCCCCAAGCTTGCCGCTATTGAGCGCACTCCTTGGAATCGTGGAGAAGTTTGGTGTGCTAGAACAAGTGGACCATTGCACTTTGGGTTAGCATGCCTATGTTCAATCTTCCAGTGCAAGAATGTACTTCATTCTTCCAAAGCATGATACAGTGGATGAGTTCATCCCCAAAGCCTTAAAGGACCATGGTACAGTGTATGTGAAGAAATCTTTACGACCAGGGGAGGATTTCCTCCAACACGTGCAGTTTCCTCGACTGCGAGACACGCCAGGTGCCCTGGTTAGGACCAGGACAGTGGGGGCTTGCCTGTGCGAAGGGCTACAGGCTATCCATGGCTAATTGTTGTTTGTTGAAAGAGCTCTGGCTTGAAAGCTGAGATGTTCGGTTTGTACCGTGACAGAGGGTAGCTGGAGACTGCAGAGATCTGCAGCGAACAAGAAACTTTGGCCTGCAACGAAAACTTTAAGGTCTGATTGGGGTCTATGTTGCTCAACAACAAGGTTTGTTCCAAAGATGTTCCAAATCTATTCGTCAGGACATTTGTGCATTCGAGCTTATTTGTGCATAACCATACACTTTCAGACGCCCACGCCTGGCGTTGCCTTTGGATTTGGTTGGGTGAGTTGTCAGCCGTGCCGAGTGCCCAGCGGCCCAACGGATGAGGAGTGGTCTCCAGCGCCCCGCAGTGCGATCGCCACTGTGCAGACACTTGGGATGCAGGTGGCAGACTGGGATAGTGCAGGTGTTGCAGGGGCCAGATGGTGAGACAAACAATTCAAGAAGGAAGACCACATGACCACACCTCGTTCCTAAACGGCAAAAATGTCACCCACTCCCTCAAAGAGGGGAACACACCCTCAAGAACCTTCTCCATTACAGATCCCACTTCTCCCACTTCGCCTTGGGAACCGAACAGCATCCCAATAGTACTAGTACCTCAAAGACCCTGCGAGACCCTGGCCCGCCTGGCCCATCCTCCCAGACCTCAAACTCCACATTTTGTAACACGTGCCACACGACTCGGCCCGCGCAGGTTGGAGCAACGGCCGCCGGGGGGGCGGCGGCCTGCTCCCCATGTCTGCGCAATCGGTCCGGCCAC